TTACAGACAGAGCTCAGTTGATCTATCCTGTAGTCTGGCTATGCAAGAACTGTTCAAACACTTGCAACAAATATGGCTTACATGTTGAAATTTTATGATGTCTATGATCAGATCTGGTAATATTTAACACACAAGAATACGTCAGCCAAAGCACATAAAAGACAACGGGAAGTAGTTCTCCTTCAGACATTATTACCCCAGAACACCTCTTATACCTTTGAAGAGCTTCGAGAGTTTCACTACTCTCAGAGCCCGGCCATGGGCCAGGCTCGTCTAGTGCTTGCTTGGTCAACCAGGCTGTTGTTGCTGGAGCCCCGCTGCCCCACATATCCATATCTGGCACCTGGTGAAGATACTTGTCCAGTTTCCTCTTGAAGGCTTCTACAATTGTTCCAGCCGTGTTTATACAGTGTTCCCTTATTGTCCCCACCGCACGCCTACTCCTCACTGGGTTTATTTTACACTTCCTTCCATATCTCTCACTCCAGTATGTTGTTATGGCAGTGTGCAGATTAGGGACCAAGCCCTCGAGTACTTTCTAGGTATAAATTATCATGTATCTCTCCTCCACTCCAATGAGTACATGTTCAAGACTTGAAGGCTTCCCAGTAATTTAGGTGCTTTACTGGCTCAATGTGACCCGTAAACGATCTCTGTATTTGCTTCAGCTCTGATATTCCTCTTGCTTTGAACGGGGCCGTCAGCACTGAGCAGTATTCTAAATCAGCACTAGCGATTTGAAGAGTGTCACCATCGGCATCATTTCCCTTGTTTTGAAAGTTCTCAATACCCACCCCGTCATCTTCCTGGCTGTCGTGATCTTTCTCTTATGTTCTTTAAAAGAAAGGTCAGCTGACATAATTACTACCAGGTCTTTTACGTGTTCATATAGTTCTATTTGGTGACCCTCTTGAGTTTTGTTTATAGTGTTCCTTTTGAGTTCTTCATTCTTTCCATACCTAAGCAGCTGGAACTTATCACAACTGAACGTCATGTTGTTCGCCACTGCCCACTGGAAAACCCTGCTTATGTCTTCCTGCATTTTTTCAGTGTCCTCTACCGTAGTGGCTTTCATGCTTATTTTAGTGTCACCTGCAAATGATGATACAAAAGTGTGCCGGGTGTTTTTATCTATGTCTGCTATGAGGATGAGAAACAGCAAGGGTGTTAGGACAGTGCCTTGGGGCACTGAGCTTTTGACTTCGCTTACACTGGATCTTGCTCTGTTTGCTACTACTTTCCGTGTTCTGTGTATTAGGAACCCGAAAATCCATCTGCCTACCTTCCCCATGCCCATGGCTCTCATTTTGTGCGCTATCACTCCATGATCGCATTTGAAAAACGCCTTTGCAAAATCTGTGTAAATGACATCTGCGTTTTGGTAGTCTTCCAATGCCTCCGTAATTCTGCTGTCATAATGGTTCAGCAGCTGTGACAGGCATGATTGTCCTGCTTTAAAACCATGTTGGTTCAGGTTATGCTGACTGTGCTCGTCCATGAAATTTGTAATCTGCCGTCTCATCACTCTTTCGAGTGAACAAGAAATCATTAACAAGACTTCTCTGTGGTTATAATGGATGACAATACAAGAATGACCAATTCTAATGAGTGTTCTCTCATGAAGAAGCCGATATTACCCTTATTAGTTACATGCTTAAAGCTATAAATGCTGTTAAAAGAATTATAAATAATATAAATACTGATGTACTTATATTATTGATGTACTGGTGCTGAAAAACACAACCCCTTGCTGAAATTTAAATGGAGCGCTCTGATGGCAATCACTTGCATCAATGCATCAGCACTCAATCCAGGTGATAAGTGTCGCCACCTGCCATGCATGTCACAGGCTGTGACACAATTTCACACACATTTAACAAAGGTACAGCTAAAATCTAAGAAACTTTAAAGTCAATGTCTCTAAACTGGGAATTATACTGTGGGAAGCAGTTCCTTCTCAAGCTGCTATACTTGATGCTGAGAAGCCTCTTTCAGTACTCTTCAAAGATCCCAGCCAGTTATTGGGATGAGTGCTCATAGATCCCAGCTAGTTACTGGGATGAATGCTCTTCAGGGATCTCAGCCAGTTATTGGGATGAGTGCTCATGGACCCTAGGCAGTTACTGAGATGAGTGCTCTAAAGGGATCCCAAGGAGTTACTGGGATGAGTGCTCTTCATGTATCCCAGCCAGTTACTGGGATGACTGTTCTTCATGGATCCCAGCCAGTTACCAGGATGAGCGCTCTTCATGGATCTCAGCCAGTTACTGGGATGAGTGCTCTTCTTGGATCCAGCCAGTTACTAGGATGAGTGCATTTTATAATGGATACTGTAGTGTTATAAATTTGTAATGTGGGGCGTTTGTGGTGTGGTGAAGCTCCATAAAAATAGCGTTAGTGCTTAGGTGGACGCGAACTGAACGGCAGGTGACAAATGGACTCGTATGAGACGGAGGTGAGAGAGTTGTGTAGCGTCACTAGTCTACCAGTCGCGGGAAAGATGTGACGAAGCAAAGTTGCAGATAAGTAGTGTGTGGTGTTTTCTGGTAGTGTTTAGGTTATAGGATGTTTCTGGTGAAATTTTTTTGTACTCTTAAGTTGGCCCTGGTATTTATGTGGGGCTTATGTGCATGGGTTTTCATATAGCCTAACTTTAATTAACTAGTACCAGTGAGCTATTTTGTAATATGTGAAATTTGGTGAAGGCGGATTGTGTGTTGTATATATTGTTACTGAAATACAGTATGTATTTTTTATGAGTTTATCTGTCCTTCCTGGTAATCAATCCTAAAGTATTAACCATTTTTTTTTGTTTAACATTTTGTGTAGTTTGCGAAGCATGGGGTCTTAGGATGGCTTACTTTTATATAACGTTATACATACCCCCTAGACAAAGTATTTTAACCCCCCTCCTCCATTTTAATTTCGTAACAGTGCTCTTCATGGATCCCAGTCAGTTACCGGGATGAGTATTCTTCATGGATCCCGGCCAGTTACCGGGATGAGAGCTTTTCTTGGATCCCAGTCAGTTACTGGGATTAATCCAGTATGTTTTGAAATCTTCAAGGAACAGCACCATTAATCAAACACGTCTGCCGACTGATGGGAACTATTATTATTATTATTATTATTATCAAAACCAAGGGCTAAACCCACTAGCGCTATTTCATCTCCAACATGCCCATTTTCAGGTCCTGCTTTGAAAAGCCGGAGCTAAGCAACACCCACTACCACTTGTTTGTATAATGAACGTCCAAGTGTGTGCCAGTCATAATGTTTACCTCTCTCGAGTTCCAACTAAATGTTTATTGATGCCTAATACTGTACATTACTATTACTAATAATAATGATAATAATGGGGTGCTCAATAATAACCCACATGGAGACAGAAACACAAGAGGTTGGTTGATTTGTATATTTCGACCACCTTCAGGGATCCCCGGAAAGGGGTCGAAATATACACATCAGTCAACCTCCTGTGTTTGTCTCCATGTGGGTTATTACTGAGCATTGACCAGTCTTCATTACACTTTATTCATAATAACGGGATCTGTATCAGACACCCTGGGTATAATTGGTTACGCCATTAAGATATTACATGCATTTCATACATCACAATCTCATAGTTAATCATCTACTCTACATATGCAAATACAATTATAAAATCTTATCATCACTACTAGGCTATAATTTCGTAACAAAATTAATCCACTCATCTAGCTGCGGCACAGTTTAGACAGTCTCAAAATTTCCGATAGTTTATCACGAACAAGGAAGTGATTTAGGGACAAATCCATACCTATAACACATTATTACCGTTTCACATCAGGCTGAATTTAGAACGCCCAGTGACAGACGAAATCTTGCCCAATTTATGTTAAATAAACAGCACGATGATAAATGTGATACCCTATATTCCGCACCTGACGTAGATGTTGCCCTCGCCAGTAATGAGGTTACAACAGACCCTCGGGAGGACGGTATCACCTATGACATCATTACAATACTGAGAAGCATACCTGGTAACCCACTGTCAGAATTACACAATATGAGTCAAGCTACGAGTCAATTACCTTCGTCGTGGGCCAACAGCAT